TACCATCTCTCTTCGTTCCTTGCACAAGAGAGACACAAGCTCAAGGGAAGCGACAATCTGCCCCAAACCAATTCCTCAAAATGCAAATTTTACATAGAAGCACAATGTGGTTAGCTCTCAGCAGACTGCAAGGCGAGAAACACAGCTGTAGACAGCTCTGGTGCAGATTTCAGCCTGAGCTACATAACAGAAATGGGGCTCCTGTGGTTCTAGCTAAGTGAGGTCAACTTTAAGACTAATCCTACAACAACCAAGAATCCTAATACCATCTGTTTTTACAACACAGACCCATCTCCTACTAGCAGGTTTGAATAAAGCTGCTAACACCAACCAAATACAACAAAGTCCAGCTCACCAAAATAACATTTGCAAAGGGTTTTCAAATGGCAGCCTCATAACGATCTATCAAACAGCTATGAGTCCCATGAAGAAAAAATGAGACCCTCCAAAACAGAAGTAGAATGTTTGCAGAACTAAACACTACATTTTCCTAAATTCACATAGCAAAATGCTCTTCCAAAACTACAAGCCATGTTCTGCTCCTCTAGATACACACACCCAATGCCCAGAGAAGAAAGCCACTTACCCCTCTAGAGACACAATTTGGTAGCAAACAGCAGGGGAAGAAACACTGTTCCTGCCAGAGCGAGGGCAGCACTGAATGACAACAGCAGTGCAGACCCTACCTACTGGCAAAATGAGACTATTTGTGTACGCAACCAAGCTGCCAGGAAGCGTGTGCAGTCGATTTCATCCTGTGGACAGCGGGCTGTGAAAAAACAGAACACGCGTAACTCGCTGTACATTACCCAGGAGGCCTGCTAGAGTCCGCATGTCCTTCTCCATCAGCGTGTACATCTCCTCCTCCGAGAAGCGGCCAATGCCATGGCCGTACATTTCCCGCTTCACGATCCCTTTGGTCAGATGGCAGAGGATCCACTTCAGCAAGTCGCTGAAGGGGCCGAAGAGTGAAACCATCTTTTGTGTCTCATGAAGATTTTCCACCCACTGGCAATAAGCTAACGTCCTAGAAGGATGTGAAAATAAGTTATAGCAGTGCAATAACCAGACATCCCATCACCACCCTGCAAAGGATCACACGAAGGTTAGGCAGCGAGCTTTGACGCTGAGTGCTCCCTGCCCTGATGGAGAGGTAGTTTCCAGTAAATAGTAGACCCAGATGCAACTCAGGGTGACAGCAGAGAAAAATGACTTTGCAGTGCTTACGCAGACTGCCCAGTGGTTATTCTCTCAGTAAATCATGACTCACTTCATGATAAAATGAGATTCACACTGAAGTAAAAATTAAAAGCTGCAGAATTCTGCAGAACTCACTAACAAAATGCTGTGCCAAAAGTACCAAAAGGATTTATTAACTAAAGATGACTGACTGCACAGAACTGGGGAAAACAACAAACAGACCACAAAGAAACCACTCCCACCAACCTGTTCTCCTTGCTTTCTATACTGCTGAAACTTAGCAAAGCAGTAACTTTGCCCCAACGTAAATATTGTAGCAGTCATTTTTCAGAAGATCTCTGCTCTCCTCAGAAACTAACAATGACACAATCTGTTAAAAATAAAATTTAAAAAATTAAGGGGTGGTGGTTATTGGGTTAGTTTTTTTCCTGTACTTTCTCCTCTCTTCAAAATGTTGATTTTATGAGACACGCATTTCTAAAGGACTCTGTTGTATTTCAGCTTTATTGAATGGCAAACATATTATTGTGAAAGGTCTTTTTATAAAAATTTGTCCTACCAGGTGAAATTTTTGTTTCCTACATTAATTTTTGTTCTTTACTAATATTGTAGGCAAACAAAAAATCAATTTGTTGCTGTCACTACTCAAGAAACTTATGAAAAAAAGAAACATTAACTTTTTTAATATCTAGCATCTTCTGACATTACGACGAAACCAAAAAGACCATATGACTTTTGTCACCAAGTTTACAGGATGTTGGAAAAAGGGCTAAAGACACCTCAAAGTAGACACGACAAACATATGAAGCCAACAGGGTCTCAGAAACACTGGGAATTGATACCCATATTCCATTATGTTTGTAGTAATTCCCAAACTGAAAAATCTAAAAGTGCATTTACGTATTTGAGATCATATGAAAACAGGCTCATGGAGACATGATAAACTACTGATGCTAGACTGAAAAGTTGAAATACCCAAAGTTGCAAGTTCATGTACGAAATGATATTAAATATTAACTAATTAACTAATCAAATGTTCCCATTTCCAATATGATCAGAACTCAATTTTTTTTTTGTTTGGAATATGACTTCAGTATCATCATTGTACATATTTCTAGTTGCACATAATTTCCTTAGCACTGATATGGGTCGCCTAAGTCAAGAAAGAAAAAAAAAACAAACAAAGCAGTATCTCCTGGAGAACTACTGTGAATTTTTTTTTTAACATACATTTTATCAGACTCCTGTATGTCAGGAGCAGAAGTTGAATTCAGCACTACCGTCAGAGAACAACTATGTTTACACCATGAAACACAAAGTGAAAGACAAATATTTTGCGTAACACCTGAAGAAAAAAAAAATCCACTCACAGCTCAAATTTAGAATGCTCCCAACAGAGTGGGTGAAAGACTTTTTAACCCTGTTACAAATTGTACACTGTAAGACAATGCTTTCTGCTCAAATTGACTTCATTGACTTCATTGAAGTCAGTAACAGTGAGGCATATGCAGGTTTTGCTGCAAATGCATGAACATTGAGGAACAAAAACACACCTGCTATGTTTCTGATGGCTTTTATCCTCAACAGATTTCTCCACAACCTCTTGCACTGTATTAATGAGACAAAAGCGTCCCGCTGACATTTCACATGCTTTAGCACCACTCTTCGAACTGCGGTGTTCTGCACTAGCTTTGTTTTTCAAAATGGATGGATCAACTCAAGTCATTGTGCTGCTTTCAGCACAGCATAGTTCGAAACAAAGCCAAATTTAGTGAGAGGCACCACTACAGAAGGGGCAACATGAAGCCAGCGAGCACAGGAGTAAACAGCTACTGAAACTCCAGAAGTCTTCATTTTGGCTAGAAGATGCGGTGCAGAACTGCCTTGCTCCAGGAACAAAGGATTTAAGAAGGATGGAAAGAAGACTGGGAAAGGACGAGGTTCCTTGGGCAGATACAGCTCTGAATAAGAAGAAAAGTTCTGGTCTTGATGCGAACACTGGGAAATAATTACAAGTACTATCTATAGCTGTAAGTTATTATTTGTATTATTTACTTGAATAAGCTACGAAAAACCTGCTCTCTGAGAGCACTGCTGCAAAGACCCTCCTTCCCCAGCATGGACCTGATCAGCTTCAGCCAGCAACTCTGCACCACAACTTAGTTGCTTTAGGACAACAGGTCTCGCCACAGAGAGGGACAAGAAGAAAAAGAAGACAAAACAGAACAGAAAAAGAAGAGAGGAGACTCTGTGGCAGAATTTTTTTAAAAGTCACGCCAGTTGCGCAAGACTAACTCAGCCCTATGGACTTGCCATCACTATTGGTCACTGTAACCACACCAGCGAGCTGGCACTGCACCAAGAATCATCAACCATGTCCAGGATGGCTTTAATTTCATGAGACAGGATGAACAATGTTTCCCACAAAGCTAATTAGACTATACTTTAAAGCAAAAATACATTTCCCTAGCGCTCACTTGCTTGCTGTGGTGGAGAAGGTCTTTGGGTCTGGAAGAGGCAGAGATCAGATGAAGTGTTTAACGATCAGGACAGCAACACAGGAAGAGCAAAATTTAGGATTTAGGTAATCTGACTTAGGGTAATCTGAAGACATCTGCTTGTCACTTTGAATGAGTAAAGTTGTCACATATCCCAAACCTCAAATTTACATGGGCAATGAAGGCAGCTAAATAGACAACCACAGAGTTTACTTCTAAGATTTTATGGTTCTGAACACGCAAAAACAAAGAAAAAAGTAGGCTCAGATTCAGAGACAGTTAAAAGCACTTTTAAAACTGGCTTTAAAAGCACTTTGTTAAAAGAATCCTATTCAAAGGTTCATTAATCTGTGCTTCCTACCAAAACATGCTCCTCTGCATTTAATCCCATCCATCATCCCTCTGCTCAGACTACACTGCTGGGAGTAATATCAACATTACAAAAGGTAAGGAAATGCCAGAAATCAAGTAGTCTACATAAGCTACTTCAGCATAACTACACATTTTAAATTGCAGTTAGTATTTATAGGGCAACACAATTATTTTAAATATTGGCCTGAACTGAGCATTTTGGGAAACATTAACATTCCCATTTGTGCCAGCACATCTGTACAAATCGTAAGAGTATAAATAAAACAATCACGCATTAAAGAGCAATGCTGTGGGGATGAAGCAAGTCTGAAGTCTAAATGTAACAGCAGCTTTGGCCTCAATACATAAATCAGGAGCGGAGACGGAGAAGTGACTCATCAACAGCGGCTTGCCTGATTATCCCCAAACTGTCTGAACATGAAGGCAAGGGGGAAGTGTTCACAAGGATGTGAACTGGGGGTTATTTTTCCTATCTGAACCTGTGCAGAGTGGAATTTCTTGATATACAAAAGGATTATAATGAATTAATTCCACAATCAGCTGTAGAAATCCCACCTGCTGTGCAACTTTCCCAGAGCAACTGGCTTTGAAGCTGCCAGTGGCATTCAAGCCTCATCATTGTTAATAGCAGGAGAGACATCGCTCTTATAATTGGTTTTATGTATTTAAACATATATTATAAAAATATTTTATGTTTAATACATGGCACATCCGAATACCAAACAAAGTCAGACTCATCTGTATTCTCATACTATGTTTTTCCTGTACTTCAAGCACTCATCACATACACGATGTTTACATGGTCTCCTTGAAAGACAAAGCAAGAAATGTGTGAAATATATGTATGTGTGTGTATATATACACAGCCCCTTACAAATCACTAAAGTTGTGCTTGACAATACAGCTAAACTAATAGGTTAGTTTGGTTAAGCTGCATATTCAAGGCTTTAGGTTCTCACTAAGCACATTAGTGTCACCAACTCAATCTCACTGAGATCCCTCTCCTGAGATTAAAGTGCCAAAAAGCACCTCGCAGCAACTGCTAGCCTTCTAGGCACCAGGAGCTGCCTGGCTTGAATGCCAGCAGTGCCACCGAGCTCAGGATGCCAGCACCAGAAGAACATGAGAATCTGACACCCTCCAGCCCATCTTACACAGAGGTCTGATCCCATGAACGTGCTGCAGATACACCAAAAATTCAATGCATTCTGAAGATGGCTGTGGGTGTCCCGCGGGTCTCTGAGGGCCCACGGGTAGCTGCAGGCAGTGGCGGTGACCCAAGGCAAACGTTCAGCAGATGACAGAGGTCTGCACTGGATCCAGGACCTGGGGCAAGAGCCACAAAATATGTCCTCTCCCATCTCTTCTCTGCTGACTTGGCCCAACACCCATTCAGGTTAGCAGGCTTTTTTTCTTTTGCCAACTTAAACATGGCAAAAGCCTAATAGTTATGGCATTCCCCAGGGACAGGAGCTCCAGTGCCAGACCCAAATCAGTTTTGTGCCTCTCGGAGATACACTCTAATCCTGGCAACAAAATAGGAACACTCACTCGCTTGCTGTCTTTCTGCCTGATCCCTGCTAGGAATCGCAGCCTGGGGTGGAGGCAGAGTGTCTAGGGCTGAGGTTCACCACAGTCCTGCACTGCTCTCAACTCCAGCCAGAGCAACAATTTCCACCTCTAAGAGACACTAATTGGTGAAGATGAGCAATTACCTCAGCAAAAGCAAAATGGCTCAGGAGGAGATGCTGAGCACCCACCAGGATTAGCTCCATCCAGAGACAGCACACCACAGGATGTACTTTGCTGCTTTGTTCGATAGATGTACTACAGTGTTACTTATTTATGATGAAACTACTTTGCAAGCTGCTGGCAATGAAACGGTATGAATCACCTTTTATATCACTGCTTTGGAGGCTTGATTTTATAACCTTATTCTGCAGAAAGGCGATCACTGTTAGAAATTCCTTACCATGGAACTTGAAGACACCATGAACAAATCCTAACTTTCTGGTGGGAAGTGGACAGGTTCAAGGACCTATGTCAAGAGATCCCACAACCACAGATGCAGTGCCGTCAGGGAGAAAGGCGGTCCTACACAGCTAAAGCCCGATTTTAGTTTAGCGTAACTGCAGGATGGTCGAAGTTATTATCCAGGAATTACAGCAGCACAACTGTGATGCCTCATAGCTCAGGCTTTGCCTAGTACAGAGAACTGGCATGGTGTAACCTCACCAACATAGCAAGCCTCTGGTACAACCACACAGCAGGGACATACAATAAGACCTACAGTTGGATGTTCTACTACACTGCAGCAAAAATACTAGCATGCCTGCCCATGTTTTAGCATGACTAAACAGGGCAGGCAACAGGGATATACAGCCAGGCACACACTCCTCTATTCTTACTTGGGTCTAGCTTCGTCCACCCATTTCAATGCCACCTCCCTGGGTTAGCACCTGAATTTGCAATACCTGTCCCTATGCTCCCCTCTGTCATGACCAGCAGTGCCAAGCCAGCCCAGAGGGAGCCTGGATGAACAGACAACAGCTTCACAGCGGAAAGCACGATTTGTAATTGAGACACTACAGCCATTTGACATCAGTAATGATATACTTGAAGCAGTTAAGTCTATGGACCACAAAACAACCAACACTAAAGCAAGGAGATGGAGCATTAGGAGATTAAAAGGCCTGATCTCCCCTTTGGCAGCTACTGTAATTGCGGGGGGGGGGGAACAAAACGGAACAAAACAAAAATCACATTTGCAGGCCACCTGAGTCAGATTTTTGAGGCTGCAGATAGGTATAACTGGCGAAGGTCACACTTCATGGAAGGCTGGGATTACATTTCTAAACCACATCATTTAAATCTGCCTACCGAATGCTAAATTTGTTCCCAGGAAACACTAAAAATTATTTGAAGAACTACATGTATGCATGTTGCTATTCATCTTCAATCACAAGGTGAAAAGAAAAAGTAGGTAAATGCATTCAATTTTCATCACACCTTTTTTGGAGAAAAAAAGGCAACGTGAATGCAACACTTACTACAGCAAGGACTTAAATGCATGCTAGAAAGCAAACTATTGGGAAAAAGCCTTGTGCCTGCTTACGCAGTCAATGCAGCATTCCAAGATGCCATGTCCACCTGCTACTTCTATGAATCCAGACTGAAAAGGGCACTTGGAAAAAGGACTGAAATGTAAAGTGGGGAGGAAAATCACAGGTGTTATTTTCAAAGGTGTCAGTAAAATGCATAAACTACCAGCAATGTTGTATTTGTGTTTTCCATTCATATACTTACTACAGCTTCTCAGGATACTGTGACTAATACTGCATCCTATCAACTGGCAGTGTCGCCAGCAATACATATTAACAGGAGTATCCTGGGTTGCAGGAAAGGCAGTAATTCATATTGTAATCACAGGCACAGATAATTAAAATCAGTAACTGTAAGAACACAATATTCTGGATTCACTCCAAACGCTGAATTGCGAATTGTGTCCCCTGGCTGTCTGTCCCCCCAAACCACAAACGTATTCAGGCATGTTGATTTTTTTTGTCTTTATTAACAAGGCTGTTTCTATACAGAGGTCATACGAAGCAGGGCGGAGGAACAGGCCACTGCTGCTGCCTTCTGCAAAGCCGCAGGCAAAGGGCCTGACGCCTTACCTTGCCGGCAAGACACTACAACTCTCAGGGGAGTTACCCCCGGCTCCTACTAGCGTACGCAGAAAGAAACAACAGGTTTATATGGTAAAGAGAGCTGCGAAATTAGTAATTGGGTACCCAAGCTTTCTGCAAGAGAAAATAAGCATTCAGGTCCAGGCACGAGCACATAGGCAGATCCAACAGCATTAAGAACACAGCCAGCTTCACCATGAAAGCTTACCAGTAGAAGTGCTCCTCCACCATTTTTGTCACTGCTCTGGAAACAGCTCTTTCATGTGGACCAAGGTGTTTGTTTAAATTCACTCCAAGTTTCTCTTCCAAAAAGTCAATAATGAACTCAGTGCCAGATACTTTCTTGTGATTGTATTCAATCCAGGGCATTTTCCCTTGAGGGGAAAGTTTTCCATCAAAATAGTTCTAAGGAAAAAAAAAAAAGCAAGTAAACAAACAAATGTACAGTCAAAAAAGGCCCTTCAGGTTCTGTCTCAACGAGAATAAATCTTTTAAAATATTTTTCTGTTTTTAAAGGCATCATTATCCAACAAACTTTAAAAAAAAACTTAATACTCTAGACTAGTGGTAGCTGTTTTATCAGAGCAACAGCTTTACCCTATTCTGACAATTCAGATAGAATTATTTCCAAGGTGTATTTCCAATTATTAACAAGGTGTTATACACTTTTATGCAGGATGCCACGTGATGTAATATTATTTAAATACCCACGTTATTTAAGGGTTAGAGATTCTCAGATCTCTCATAAGGCTGGGTCCATTATTCTAAACAAGTTTTGAGTGACAGGACTGACACTTGAATTTGGCTCTTGCACAGAGCAGCATTTTTCACGTAAAAGTACTTTATAAAGATTAATTCACTACCTATCTCAGACAGCTGCATTACCTCCAAGGATAAAACACACACAGTCACAAGCGTATAATGAAAGGCATATCATTCCTTCACTGGGCGGGAAGGAAATCTGCCTTTACATATGCTTCTGCAACTTCCTAACTTAACGATCTCATACATTTACAGACACACTTGTTACACTTGGGTCTCCAAAAGCCCGGCACCAGTACAGCACTAGTGCATCACTGAATACCGGTATATCTGCTCAGCACAGCACTCATGCAGAAGCAGCAACGTGTTTTCCCCATTTTACAGTTGGAGGTGAAACACAGAGATTAGAGCATTTATGTCTCATCTGACAAACACGAGAGCAATTGTTGGCTTTCAAAACATGATCAGACATTTGACTTCAATTCTCTCTTACTTCTGAAGGCTGAGACACAAGGCAGAACTTTCTTCCTTTCTTGTGACTCCCATCCTCATGCTCCGTTATTTAATGAATGAAAAATCCTAGCTCAGAAAGCCAAACCATAAAGGCTCACAATAACGGCTGTGCACTCGGTCTCCAGCAGTCACTCTGAGCATTTCAGGATCTAGCTGCTAGAGGTTTAGGGTTAGCAGTTCTGGACTGACCTGTTTGGTCTCAGGTATTTACCCCTCTTGAATCCACTACAGATGGATTAAGGTCCTCTTGCAGCAAGGAGCGTGTACACCAGAACGCGCCTCCAGCTCAGTCTGAAAGCACAGTATCCTGGCTACCGCTCAAAACGCGGACGCGCAAAGCACCACGAACGCGCGGCCATTCCCGGAGGCTCTTCCCTTGTGGATGAAAACACACAAAACGGGTAACACTGCTGGGAAAACAATGCCTTCTGGCTGTAGCCTTTTCTGGGATTTCTGCCCCCAAAAATAGCATGGTAGGGACATGGGATTACATGTCTCATCTACTGCATCCTTGCATGGGTGAATAAAGCAACTGAATCCACCCCTCTTGCACGTGTGAGTGACATGGCGGTTATTACTCTGGTCCATGGGAGAAACTCTGAAAACTGCTGAACACCTGAAACTGAAAAAGCACTGCCCCATCCTTCCACCTTCCAGACCTTTCCTTCATCAAAAAGGCTCTTTCAGCACTCAGACTGATAGGTTTCCAATGAGTTTTCGTTATGAATTTTCTACAGAATCATAAGCTTTTTCTGGAACTACACAGTGTGTCTATATGGCACTGAGAATTGCTGGCTTCATCTTTGTTAGGCCCTTTCAGTGTGAGATTTCTCTTCTTGTGCATAAACACTGATGCTTTGCAGAAGCTACTGGATTGAATTATTACATATTGCAATTACTGTAATCCACATCACTCGCAAGCCAGAAAAAAAGCAAGTTATTATTCAACTGCACATTTCTTCAAGCACGCATATATATCATACATAAAGACACTGCATAAAAATTTGTTAGTACTGCACCCTGAAAAACACAAATGAGAGATAAATTTCCTACACGAAAGTTGGTTTACCTAAACTTAAAAAAGCCTTCTCAGGATTTTCATGTTTCATTACATACAGTTTATCAAACAAAATAAGAAACGTCTTTCAATGACCTGAGAAAACCTTAGTCTCTTGACAAATCTGTTATACTGTTCTTGCATCCACTGTTCTCAAACAAGTATTTTTAGGCTTGAAATCTAAGAATCCTTATGGCTGTTACTAATTGCCATCAAATATTTATGAATTTTCCACTTAAAAATTGTTCCAGCTGCAAAGCAGGGAAATGCTATGGTATTATCACTTAAAAAAAACCAAAAACAACCACACAAAACATCCCCTCATACCTCATAGCACATTTAACCAAACTGCAGCCTGCAGAGCAACAATAACAAGAGGTCCCCAGAATCTCATTTATAGAGGAATTTATAAACAGAATGGCATAGGGCACTTCTGGGGTAATTTTATAGTACTATCCAGAAGAAATTAGGTTCCACATTTTCAATTACTGCTGCTTATGCTTTTACTTTTACCTATGTATCCTCCCAAGGAGGCCACCATCTTCACAGACCTGGCATGAAAACAGAATGTTTCTGCTGTGCTAATGACTTACCAGATTACATAAACACTCAGCTCTTCATATTCATGAGGGAATCAAGAAATAGCCAAAAGATCTCCACAAGCACATAGAATGGGCTCTTTCAAAACAAGTTTTATCAAGAACAGCATCAAACATTTTGAAAAAACAGCTACGTACTATGACATTTCAGCTGGGATGGGGCTGCCCAAATTATTTTTGACGGGAGAACTCGCACCTAGAAAGGCAGCTTCAGGAAAACGTAAGCACATGACAAGAGCACATCTGTTGGGAGAAACTCAGTTGAGAGTAACGCAGGAATGTGTCACCCAATTCCACTTCTCACAGGCCATTAAAGCATGTTGTGTAACACACAGCACGTTACTCCATAGTCTGATGCATTGTAATAAAGTATAAACACAAGGAATCGAAAGAGTAAAAGCAGTCTGACCACCCCGCTGACTTTTCTTCACCCTGTTTCACAACCATCCCTCCACAGCAGCCGCTCCCAGGGAAGGTGATGACCACTGCAAGTCTCCAGTGGCAAGCCCAGGCACCAGCTGCCATCCAGAGTGCCACCACTTCTCCATCGTGGCCCCTGCGGGCGCGCAGGGAAGTGAGGTGTTTCCTCCTGCATCTGGTCGTACACCCTATACACACTGGGGGGGTGTATACCCCCCGCTGGGGAGGGGGGACCATCAGATGTCTCTGTCACCTATGGCGTCCTACAAGTAACATAGCCACGAGGGAAAAAAATAGACGTCTCCAGGTAGTCTGAGTATAGCAAACTTTGTAACTACAGCTGAGAACGGCGCTGCCTGCTGGGTCTCCTCCTGCCACCTCCTGCTCTCCTACCACTTAACCCCACGGTGGCATTCGTACCTTCCTCCGCCCGCCAAACACAGCACTGTACTCCTAACACAAAGACAAAAAGAGAATCTGCCTCTTCCGGAAAAAAAGCTGCATCCTCAGCTCACAAGCTTAGCTCCACCAAACTTACCTCTAAAACCCTACATAGGGTTGGTAACCCCACAAACACCGTAAGCCTGTATACGCCAGCATGGCTAAAAGCAGAAACCTGGCATTCCCAGCACACATGGGACCCACTCCTGCAGCGTGGAACATGTGGGGAACCGAGCTGGGTTAAAACCAAATAAACTAAACCTTCATGGCTCCAGCTAGGCCAGCTCTGGCCCAGCCTGATCTGGCACAGAAAAGCTTGTGCAGGAAGGGACAAGAGGGAGCCGCTGAAGGTAGGACTGTTGCTTCCGGTGGTCCGGCTGACCTATGCCAGCATAGTGTGCTCACACCTAGCGAATGGGGATAGAGAGAGAGATGCAACACCAAAAAGCAATGCTGACCTTCAGTACAGAAAATAGAGAGGGGAGCATAACCCTCTGTAAATCCCCCTCTCTGAAAAGCTGGTTGACTCACTTCTACTCAGCATGAGCTATCTAAACAACTCCAACCTGAATCACATAAATGCGCAGTGTTATCTTTTAGAAGTGACCGTATCCAGCAACAACCATCTTTTATACTGCAGCTTGCTTTAACTACTCTCCAACAGAGCAACTTTGATCATCACAAACCTCTGAAATACATCAACTCCCATTAGAAAAAACACAGATCTCATCAAAATATTTTTCCCTTCAAACATGCAATTTTGACCCAAACTACTCTAAGTGGAGAAGCAATGTGCACTAAGTGCTCCTGCTCCAATGACACGTTCAAACTTCAGTATCTTGCAGGTTCTGTAAACCTAAGTGAGGAAAATACATCCCACAGGATGGAAATCTCCCTCTTTAATGCTCTGCAGTATATGATTGAAGTACCATTAAATCTCAAGATAATGAACATTAAACTCAAGGTTTTAAAGACTTAAGTAAAATGTAGTAATTTGGTTTTCTTTCACTTCCAACGTAGAGTTTAATCGCATCCTAACGAATAAATATCAGCCACAAACGTGTAAAAAAACCAATATTGTAATATGGTTGTTTTCTCTCTGTAAAACACAGGACATAAACTGAACGTTCTTCCTAACACCTTGGCATGCAGCAGTAAAAAGTGACTTCAACCCATGTGGGGTGAGCATGCAACTTACCCACAGCTCAGTCTCTTTGAGACAAAGAAAGATGCCAAATTTACATCACTGGGGGGAGGGGGGCGAGAAGAAGAAACACATTTCTTCTACCTAAGATCCTTGTTATCTTTATCACCACAGTTGTATCATCTTAAATGCACTCAACGCTTTACAAAAACAGAAAAGAAACCCCATCCCGTGTTTCAAAGAGCTTGCATGCTGTACAGCTTGCTGACACAACAAGATGCACGCCAGACTCATGGCGTCACAACTAAACCTTCACGCTAACAGGCAAAATTGCTAGATTCAAATTTCTCTCTCCTGGCTTTCATTCACTGGAGTAGCTCAGGCTTTGTCCCTTGCAGGAAGATGGCATGGGATGCACACAGACACAATTAAGGAGCAGTATTCATGACGTCTAAAAGCAATCCTGTCTTCCTTCACCGGAGAAGCACCAGCGATAGAAGGTGAAGCAAAAGGCAAGCACATCTTCCCGGGAGAGCTCCAGAGAGAAACCCTCCGTGAAAATAAGCTGCATCTGCCTAATCTTGATCTCTTCGGCGTGGTGAAATTCAAAGATGTTACGCTTTAGTTCTGGCATGTTATTTAGCATTATATAAACTCCAGACTACTCTCCCACTAAAGCATTTCCAGCCAAGATAGCTTCTCACATAAATTCAGCTTTGCCAATTAAATCTAGAGCTGTTCCAGACCCATGTTATTCAAGTCATATCTTTAAAGGCTATAAACCAAATTTAACTGGAGTCATAAAAGTGCTGGTGTACCCACCTACTTGTAGGTGTTTGTTTACATCTCCCTAGGTGAGACAGATTGAGGGGGAAGAGAGACAGGATGCCTATTTGACACTGCATGCAATTTTAGTCAGCTGCAAGGTAAAGGAAAACTGCATAATGTACCTGGTATGGTAAATCGGCCATCCTCAGGTAAGTTTCCATTTTCAGACAGAAGGGAGATAAACTTGGAACACCATTGCTAGGCCTTGAAAACTGATGCAGTATGATAGCATCTTTCGAATCAAGCTCTTGCTCTTTCCTGTCAAAAACAAAATAGAATTAAAAAAAAAACCAAACAAACGGACAGGCACACGATACACATCAGCACGTTAAATACACAAAGGAGAAATCCTGGCCGAAGCAACGCCGCGGACCACTAAGGGACTACTGCAGGTCTTTGATACACGGGATGCAGAGCCAGGGAGCAGCGCTCGGGCGGCAGGCTGGGCTCAGCCTGCACCCGAGAGGGGTAAAGAATATTTAAAAA